TCTCTCAGCCTAAGCGTTTCTGGAGATTCGTGGTGTCTCCAGTTGCTGAGGGGTGTTAGCGTCTGTGCACCAGGGACCCCCCAACAGCTCAATAATGCTCAGCAAATTCATGGTTCTCCTCAACGCCACATTCCCCCACCGACTGACCCACCAAAAAGGTGAACAAGGGCCGATGGTTCAGGGCGAGTTGAGAATTCCTTCACTCTGGAAGATGCAGGAGCTGCAATCTCTTGTGCAGCGAAATCAACTATTGCAACTCGAAAAAGATCGAAAAATGTTCTGAGTCTGACTCAGATCGTGAATTGTCCCTTTTGCTCAACCTGGTCTCAAATGCCTGAAAAACCCCTGGACGAGCGTGGCAAAAGCGTCTATGTTGCGATCTTGCTCATGCTCCGCCAATCGCTTGCTGCAATGATGGCGCAGCTTTGGTCGTGGAGTTCACCAACTTGGACTGCATTGGGCTCTGACCCAAGAACCTCATCTAGAAACAAGACCAATCCCTGCAGAGATCAAGAGCTGCTGGACACCACGAAGCCAAATCAGAAACAAAATTAAACATCTGTAAACTATCTATCTCTCTCAGCCCCTTCCAGAGGCAAGAACACCTTTCTATGGTCTGTCACCTTCTATCATTCTCAAGACTCAAGAGTGTCTGCTCAAAAGACTAAGATCGGGATGGTAGACATTGGGAGAGTGGGATGAAAAGTCGCTCGAAGTGATGCCAGGGAGCTCCACGCGCCCCGACTTCAAGTCATAGACCCCTCCCTGGATCTCCAACTCGCCGCTGCGCACCTCACCATTCGTCCGAATGTGATCGACTTGTGATCGACTTGTGATTGACCCGTGTTGAGTGTATCAAACCATAAGGAACTTGAATGACCTTCATGTCCATTAGGATCGATTCAAAGCATATGCAAAAACTCAACTGTGGAACTCGCCTTCTCCCGGATTGGTTGGCTGTACCTTGGCTGAGGGCTTGCGGTGGCATGATCGTACTGCAAACGCCCAGCAGTTGAGGAAAGATGAACTCAACAATCTATTATTCAATTGTATAATATAATTGTAGAAACTTGACTCGGAAAGAACCATTCTCGTTCCGTCCATGTCATATTGTTGGATTGATTTTTTGGCTATGCAATGCTATGATTGCAATGCAAGTTTGTCCGAGGCTGGTGCATTCAAGAAACACTTGCTCAAATGATGAACATGCGAATGAGATATGAAATATGAATTCGTGTATATATATATATATATATGAAAAAGATTGAAAAAGCAGTGTCTCATGTATAGGATTCCGGAAGGTTCGCGACTACAGGCAACCTGGGCTCTAGGACGAGCGTCAAAAGGGCGCCGAAGGGAAGAGGGTAGGTTCCCTAGGTTTTGGGACATTGAAGTCCCTAGTTTCGACATTGGTAGCGGAGCCACCCACTTAAGTGTGGGTGGCATCCGGGGTAGTGTAGATCCTAGGTAGGATTGAGCACTGGAAAAGCAGTGTCTTTTATAGGTGCCATGGCCGCTTCCTCTGACGGGTACGGAGGACAAAGGAGATTCAGTGGAGAGACGCTGGATCCCCAGGAATACAGGCGATGGCGCTTGTGGGCTCTGGCCAAAATGGCCGCCACCAAGGACATGTCTGCGACACAGAGAGGTCCATTTGTGTTTTGTCTGCTGGATGGGTTGGCTCTGGAGACGGTGGAACACCTCACTCTGGATAAAATGAGAGAAAAAAAAGGAGACAGACACATTTGGCAATGTCTGGACGAACGATTTCCGGACAAACTGGCTCATGACCACATGGCCGAGCGTCTCAAAGAGATTTTCGAGTTGCATGCTCAGGATGGTGAAACCATAGTGGCATGGTGCTCACGGGTTCAGGAGGCCTTCGCTAAGTGTCGCAGAAAGGTTCAGGTGGACTTTCCCGCCGAGGCGCGGGGATGGGTGTGTCTCAACGCCTCAGGGCTGTCTGCTGATCAACGGGCAATTGTGACTGCAAAGACCCAGGGAGACTTGAAGATGGAGAACATCATGCCGGCGATGAGGAGCTGTTTTCCTGATTTCAAGGCAGGCCGACGAGTCATGAAAAGCAGTTCTGCCTATGTGGTACAACATGATGAGACAGAGGACGAACCGGAGACGGGGCTGCCTTCCGAGGCGGATGGGCCCGACAGTGTTGTATTTGATGAGGTGGAAGCTTTTCTTGCAGAGCATGGATTTCAGGATGCAGCATCTTCGGGTTCCTTCCAAGAGGTGTACGACGAGTCAGAGATTGCTGAAGTTCTCGCTGCCACGTGGCGAGAGAAGAGGACTGAGATCTCCAAGTTGCAGAAGGCAAGAAAGTTCAAACAGGCATCCAGTGTGAAGAAACAATTCTCAAGGGAGCTGACCGACATCCAGAAGAGATCACGATGTCGACGCTGTGGGCAGATCGGACATTGGGCTCGCAACTGTCCGCAAGCCTCTAGCAGTACAGGTCGTGGGGACAAGGAGAAGGTCAGCGGTGCGGCAATGGTGACAGAAGAAGTTTTGCTGGTGTCTTCACCGGGCTACGGCATCATTGACTCTGGTTGCAGCAGGACGCTCATTGGCCAACAGACGTTGGGTGATTTCATGAGGCTGTATCAGGAGAGAAAGATGACCATGCCGGAGAGCAGGCCGCAACAGAATTTGTTTCGTTTTGGCAATGGTCAGGAAGAGCTGTCGGAGAAGGTGGTTTCCATGCCAGTGATGATTCATGGTCAACCTGGCCGCATCGAAGCGGCAATCATCAAAGGCTCGGCTCCCTTGCTGCTGTCTCGCAACACCCTCAAGAGTTTGGGGGCAAAGCTGGATTTTGCTGCGGAGACCGTAGAGCTTCAGGGAGGCCCTCCACAACAGCTGCAGACCAATACTGCCGGACAGTTCATTTTGAACGTGCTGGACGACCATGAGACAGAGACATTGTTGGTTGAAGATAGCAGTGTTGACAATGTTGACAAGTCGCCTTACAATGTTGAGCATTGTGCATCACGGTTGGTTGAGACAGACAGCAACGTTGAACAGTTGAAGCCACATGCAGACAGTGAAGAGCAGTTCGTACAAGGACCCACTCGTTCCTTGACATGCAGGGAACATCGTTGTCTATTGGCACACCACGAGGCTTGGACAAAAGAGAAGAGGACAAAGTGTGCCGTGGCCGAGTTGTTCTCTCCTCCACGTTTCAGCGAGTTGGCGGAAGCGAGAGGAGACAAGGGTTTGTCTTTCGACATTAAACAGGGCTGGAATTTGCTGGACAAGAAGACACAGACAAAGGTGGACACGATGCTCGAGGAGGCGTCCCCTGAGTTGTTGATTTGCTGTCCAGAGTGCAAACACTGGGGCGGATGGTACCGCCTGAACAAGCACAAGTTGTCCCTGACCGAACAACTGCGCAATCAGCGGGTGGCACAACAACAGGCAGATTTTTGTGTGGCCCAGATCAAGAGACAGCTAAAAAGGGGTGGACGAGTGCTCGTTGAGCATCCTTGGTCAAGTGACCTTTGGAAGTATCCACCCATGCAGAAGTTGTTGCAGGCTGGGAAGTTGACCGTGCAGAAGGCCAACATGTGCGCCTACGGCCTTACAGACCCAGACAACGGCATGCCTATGTTGAAGCCAACTGGACTAGCCGTGTCGCATCCAGACATGAAGGCCTTGGCCATGGAGTGCCCAGGACACTCCAGTCATCAGGGAATCGTAGGACACACACGATTAGGTAATTCCCGAAGTGCCTTAGCAGCAGAATACACCAAGGCTTTTGTTAGGACGTGGTACAGTTGCATTAGGCCACAAGAACAGTTATGTGCCTTCGCATGTGTGCAGGTTCCGATGAACCAGTCAGTGAGCAGTGAGGGGACGATTCATGAGGCTCTAGCTGCCGAGGTTCAGGATCCACAGAAGGTTCAGAACTTGTTGAGACGGCTACACAACAACCTAGGCCATCCGTCAACCAGGACATTTGTTGAGAATCTTGAAACATGCAGGAGGTTCAAGTCAGGCTTTGAAGCTAGCTGAACAAGTGGAAGAACAGTGTGACATTTGTAGACAGCGACAGAGACCAACACCCGCTTTATCAGCTAGTCCAGAGAAACCGGTTGATTTTAACCATCGAGTAGGCTGGGACGTGAAGAACTTGCCAGGATGGGAGGTAAACCAGAAGGTGAAATGCATGAACATCATTGATTTTGCGACCAGTTTTCAAGTGATGATCCCCTTTTTCGAGAAGGAAACAAGTGAAGTGCTGAGGAGGATCTTCGTTGAATCTTGGCAGCGATGGGCTGGGCCGCCAGTCGAGGTCATCACCGACCCTGCTCGCACGAATCAAGCCGAGACAGTGTTTCAGCAGCTAGAGCGTGATGGCATTCGCATTCTGTCGAGCGCTGCAGAAGCACACTCCCAACTAGGTAAAGTTGAAAAGCATGGGCATTTGTTCGAGGTCATATTGCAAAAGGTGATAGATCAGGTGCAACCCAAGAATAGGCAAGAATATGAGCAGTGCGTCGCACAGACCACGAATGCCAAGAATGAGCTGTTGAATCAGCATGGATTGTCACCCTGCCAACTTGTATTCGGACGGAATCCCAGGGTTCCGGAAGATTTGTTGCAGGAATGGCCATGTCCAGTGTCCGGTACAGCTTCCTTGACCGACGATGTGGTAGCTAGATCTCAGCTGATTCGGACGCAAGCACGAACGGCCTTGATCATGTCTCAGGATGACAAGACGCTCCGAACTGCTTTAAATGCACGACCAAGGGTTGAACGAGACTTCTTTCCCGGTGACTACGTAGCATACTGGAGAACACAGAAGTATGAGAAAGGTGTCAGGTTGGTCGGTGGTCGTTGGTTCGGGGTGGCAATCGTAATGGGTAAGGTAGGAAGAAACTACTTGATATACCATCGCAAGAACATGTTTAAGGTAGCTCCGGAGCACCTGCGTCATGTGACAGCCGAAGAACGAGTGCTCGCGCAGACAGATGGCAGAGAGTTGCTCGGTTTGAATGCGATGCTTGAAGACAAAGACAAGTTAGGAAGCCAGTTCGTTGACCTCACAGGAACCCCCACTCCAATGCAGTTAGCTACAGCACCCCAGGAGGTGGAGGATGTGTGGTTTAGGCAAGGCGATATGCTCAGACGCATTCACAAACAACCGAGAAGCACCCTGTTTATGCCAAATCCCAATGATCCCGTGTTGGTAGGACTGTCTCTGGAAAACTGGCGTAGGACCATCCGATCAGACACGAAAGAAACGGTAGTTCATCAGATTTGGTCAGAACCAACTCATCAGACGGGTCAATGGGGGGAAACTCCATGGAAAGGTGAGACTCAGTTTCGCATTCGACCTCGAAGAGAGCAGCCAAATGTTCCAGACACAGTCCAGATCAGTCAGCAAGCGTCAACTGGTTCGAGCACAGCTGAGACCCCAGATAAACCTAGTCCAGAGGAAAACCAGAGTAGGGAGATGAAGGAGTCGGTAAAGGATAGTGCAGAGACCTCTAAACTAGGCAGTCATCGATGGAGTCCTCTAGCCAATGACAGCCATTCCCAGACAACTGGGCAAGAAGGTTATGGTCCGGTTCGATTGCGTCAGCAGAAAGGTCCACCCTTGGTGCTCTTACGACCCCCAGAGATGAAACAAGAAGATTTCATGGAGGTGTTGGAGGAAAACCACGGCACCAAAAGAAGCCTTTCGCCCGACGGTCAAGCAAGTGCTCCCAGCAAGCATGTTCGCACTGAGGAGGACGAATGTCTTCTGTCAGAGTTGATCCACAAAAATGGTCCTGCTTCATGTGTAGAGGTTCTGATTGCAAGTTTCCTGCAGAAGAAAATGCAAAAGGAGTTGCATCACTCGAATAATCGACATCACGATCCAGATTTGTT